TGTGTGTCTGTCTCCAACTCACAGGCTTGGAACAATTGTTGATGCGTTCACAATACCCTGTTTCCAATACATGGAGTAAGCAGAAGACAATGAACAGAGACGGAAGCCAAAACGAAATAGTTAAAACAGCAGCAGACAGCTAAGGACACCAGTAGAGTAGGTGCATGCTCACGTCAAATAAGAAGGCATGCTCCTCTTCTGTTAGCACACACCCTGAAAATCCTCGAAACCAAAGTAGGAGATTTCCCACTTCAGTCAATGTTTCTCTATATAATAAAAATATGACCTTTCAGTACTTGAGGGAATTACACTTAATTTACAATAGTGTTTTACAGGTAGGTTGAATTTAATTCTAAAAGATGAATATGCTTTTTTCCTATACCTGCAACCATAGTTCTTTTAAGAAGTACACCAAAAGCAGCCAGAAGAACCAATCCCAAATCTTCACTAAACAGAATTACTTTGGAAGAAGTTAGATTATCTTCAAAATTATTCCTAGGGCATTTTCAAAAATTCACTTCCATTTGGGTTTTACAGAAATTACCCCAAATTTATGTATTTATGTATGTATTTATTTATTTATTTATTGTCCAAGACAAACCTTCAATATGGTGTTCCAAATTAATTCAGATATACCACAGCACTTTATTTTTGGAACATACAAGATGTCACCTGACCAGAATCCCTGTAATCCAAAATATAAAATAACAACTTACTTTAGACTAGATTTACCCTTGGTAGTGTTAAGCTGAAAATACTTATACTGGGAGAATTTAAGGAGGATGCAAGTAATTTTTTCTATACTCAGTTCTAGCCTTAGGCATCTTGTAAACAGTAAAGAATGGCAAGTAAGGGTCGAGGCCCTGGGTTCTATCCCCAGGAGCAACAACAACCAAGAATGAGAACTTTATAAAGTTTATTTTCATTATTTAGTCAAGATGATTCCTTATATGACAAGACCCTTTACCCAATAAACAAAAAAGGTCTCCAAACATAGATTCAGTAATACTAACTTCACAGTGAACAGAGATAAAGCTAACTTGAAAAGATAGGCTTCCCAAGTGACTGGAGATTTGAGAGAGATCTTGAACTGAATGGCAATAAGAACTAACTATAGCGCACACAGCAACATTTAAATATAAACAGTAAAAGCCTTTCCAAGCAAACAAAACTCAAGAGGATGAGTCTATGCCGGTGAAATGTACAGACTTTCCAAGCGTAACTTCCCTGGTTATTTCTATAATCTTCTGAAGCATAACCTTTCAGGTATGGTGTTTTAAATATCCAATTCAAAGAGTTTTTAAAAATAAAATTAGACTTTCACCTCTTATTTTTATAGCTTTAGAAATACTCTGAAAAAATTAGAAAGATAAACACTACTAAATATATACTACTTTTAAAACATTAAACACCATCACCTTCAGAGGCTGTACATTAAAGTTATAATAGTCCACTTAAGATTAGCTGCTTATATTTTACATTCCAAGGAGAGAAATAATTCAAGCAATTTGAGAATCAGGTATTTTCTAAAAATGAGTAGTAACTTAGAACAAGGGAGATTTAAAAGTGAACTCAAGTAATCAGTAAGAAGAGGTTTTCTGATAATACAATTGTGGTTACCAAATACCTATCAATCTTGTAGTCTGAGAAAGTTTAAAAGAATTGTATCTTTTTTGGTTTTTTTTTTCCAAATTAAAAAAATTACCATATGATATTATGCCAAGAAAAGATAGCACATTAAAATATAATTTGTGCTTGATAGTCAGTGTAAAGGGCCTATTTGACTTATCTAAGACTATACTTATACTTTCTCATTTGTTTTCTTGCTTTCCATCTTCCCTAAAATAAACATTTCCTAACAAACCCTGAAGTCTGCCTAAAACAGAATTCAAAAATAGCTTCTTGCTACTGTTCCTTAGTTATACTTTGCTAAAGTCCCACCACATCCATGTTCTTCTGGAGATTTATGGCAATGTTTCAACTTGACTCATCCTTTAGAGGCGAGTGACGTGGCTTTTCTTTTGCATCATTACCATTCCAATGGTCTTTTTCATTGTTTTAGTCATTTTTTTAATACCATCCAGGATTAAGCCTAACACTTTTGCTTTGTAAAATAGCACACACACTTGAAAAAATTCTTTAGCACATTAACTATAGTCACGTTTCTTGGAATCAACTTTCTACTTTATAAAATTGGGATTTTTTTGGGGGGGAGGCGCATAGTGGGTTTGAACTCAGGGCCTACACCTTGAGTCACTCCACCCACCCCTTATTTTGTGATGAGTTTTTCAAGATAGGGTCTCTTGAACTGATTGTCCAGAGCTGGCTTTGAACTGCGATCCTCCTGATTTCTGCCTCTTGAATAGCTAGGATTACAGGGATGAGCCACCAGCACCCAGCTAAATTGGACTTTTTTAAAAATCTTCTTCTGTAAGAAATTTTGATCAAAAAATGAAAACCATTTCGTACTAAAGACTTTTGTATTTAAATGCCTTATGAATTATGTCTTAACAAACTATGTTTAGGTATGCATATGCAAATATATATGCATAAATACATATATATGTACATATATGTATATTCTTCACCACCAAGGTGCTTGATATTTACATTTAAAGAATACTATTAACTTGTGATTAGCTCTATGTATTTCTATGACTCTCCTCACTGCTGGCAAGATGAATAATAAATCAATATTCCTACTTCTTTAGATTAAGAAATAATGGTAATTCAAAGGGGTTTCATCTGTTTCTGAAATAATCTCATTTGAAAATAATGTTCCTTGGACTTGGCACTAGATACTGAGTATTATTCCATATTTTAGGCAGCTGCTCTACCACTTGAGCCATCCCCATGCCTTTATTCCGTATTTTAATCCCTATGTTATACTACCCTTTTTCAAGCTCAACCCAAATTGTACATTAGTAACAATGCTACTAGATTTACACCTCACAGAAACCCACTGAGTTGTCAACTCACTTCTTTAGAAGCATGCATTCATAGCAAGACTCCAATTGCAAAATATAGGTTCATAAAACACATACCTGGCATCATTTTGTTAAATCAGGGAATTAGCTACTTGAGAAAGCACAATTTTTCTCCCATTTTAAATATGAAAATACAAGGACCGTTGTGGGGCCAAAGGAATAATATGAGAAACCTATACAAAATTCTAAAGCAAATAAAATGAAGGTACTGAAAGGAAAAATGTGGGCCCTGAGATAGAGATCACCAGAACCTGAAGAATTGCTTCTAAGAAAGGCTGCTAGCCCCAGCCCAGAAACAGCAGTCCTGAGGAAAAAAGAGGAGCACTAGCACAGAAACAGCTGCCCTCTTTAAGGAACCACAGCAAGGAGAAAAAAATCTCCTCACACCCCTCAGAGGGTATCCGATTTCCTACCCTGTTGCTGGAGGCACTTCTCAACCTAAAGAGCAGCCTTTATTTTCTCTTCCTGGCAAATAAATCTTACTTTCACCTTGCTGGAGGTTTTCTATCATTAATTTGTTAATGTCTTAGAAAGCAAAAACCTGCGTTGGCTGAGCACAGCACACCCATGCAACGTGTGGGCTCAAAAAAGCATTAAGTCTCACAAAAAAAGAGCTGTCAAAGGACAAAGTAGGGGCTGCAGGTGTGGCTCAGTGGTAAAACTTGCATGAAATGCTGGTGGCCCTAGACTGGAGTCCCCAGAGGAGGGGGAGATATGATTTAGGGGGAAAAAATTAAGTTTTTTAAAAAGCACTCTGAAGGGGTGGTGGAATGGCTCAAGTGGTAGAGCACCTGCCTAGCAAGCATAAAGTCCTGAGTTTAAACTCGAGTACTGCTTCCCCCCTGCCCACCCCCAAAAAAGCACTCTGATTAACAAAGCTATAATGACCCTCTCAAATCCCTGGGGAAGAAAGGCAGAATTTAATAGAGACGAATACAGAAAACAAAAAAATCGTAACTAAATGCTTCACACATTATGCTGCAGGCACAACAATCCTAATTCTCCTTATTTCCATGAATGTAAGAAATATTTTAAATAAAATCAGAATCAAATTTTTCTTTTGCAAGATTCCAAAGGATGTAGCCAAGGTTTCAATAATAGGTGACAGATGAATTTTAGCTCCATAAAAGCCAAGGCTTAGCAAAGATGGAATGGATTATCCCTTAATATTAGAGGTGTTCACAGGCAGGCTTAATGGCCCCTTAGCAAAAATCTAGAAAAACAGTTAAGTTGACATAGCATGTTCATGATAGTCACAGAGTCTAATATTTGCTCTTGCTTCCTCAAGAGAATAAGTAAAATAATGACTGTATATAATAGCATTAAATATGTGCCAGATTAGTTCTGTATGTCTGATTCAATTATTTATCATAATTGTTATACTTGAGCCAGTTTCTCCAATTCCCAGTTCTCCCTTCAGAGGTTTGGACAGTGTCTCAAATGTAGCCTAGGTGACCTCAAACTCTAGATCAACTTGCATCATCCTCCCAAGTTCTGGGATTACAGGTGTGCACCATCATGTCCCACTCAGTATTATTTTTTTAAAAGCAAATAACTAGCACATTAAAAGAATTCTGTTCATAAAAATTAAGTTCTACCACTTTACAGGGAAAGCATGCATTCATTTTTGGGTGGGGCTGGCAGAGTGGCTCAAGTGATAGAGTGCCTGCCTCGCAAGTATGAGGCCCTGAGTTCAAACCCCAGTGCTGCCAAAAATATAAAAAGAAAAAGAAAGGGGTAAAAGACAACAGTATTATGAGAAACCTAATATTCATTCTAATATACACTCACCCAACAAATAGTATTAACCACCTATTATGTGCTAAAAACTAAAGTTTTGCTTTTTTTTTTTGGTTTTGTTGTTTTGGGTGGTAACTGGGGTTTGAACTCAGGAGTCACGCTTGCTACGCAGGCACTCTATCACTTGAGCCACTCTGCCAGCCCCAAATTAAAGATTTTTAATTGAAGGTTTTTAATAAGGCACAACCCATAAAATGCAAAAGAAAATCTAACCTGGATTCTGGCTGTAAAAAGGTCCTCCATTCATCTGAGTCTGAAGGCTTGTTTGTGAAGTTATGGAAGGAGGGCGTCTATAGGGCAGCGAGCCTCCAATTGTTGGGGGAGTATGGCGAGAGGCAGGTCTATTCATGCTGTAGAACTGAACAGGATGACCTAGAAAAGGGACAGAACAAAACCCTATCATTAAAAGAAAATTATTTCAGATAATGAAATACTTTAGGTACACTGCCCACATCTTAGTAAGATTATTATTTAAAATAACAGTGTTTAGTCAATTTAACTGCTACCTGAGAAGCAAAGCAAGGTGAGTTATTTCTTAACTGGTATTTTATCAATGCACACAAGCAAGAAAGTAAACGAAAACATGAGCAAGTTTGGAAAAGTTATACCTAATTGATAACTAAGTAACATTATGATTTTATTAATCACTTGATGAGTTATCAAAATCATCACAATTAATTAAAACTGTCGTTCCTGCCATATTTTGAATTTGTCCCCCAAAGCTCTTGTGTGGGACTTGGTCATAAGGGCTCTGCGTTCATCAATGGACAATAATGTTACTGTTGCAGGAACCGGGTAATGATTCTGGAAGTGGGTTCCTGATAAAAGCATGAGTTCATTCCCTCTACCCCTCGCCTCCCTGTCACCTCTCTCACCCCTCTTCCCTATTCTCCCTCTTTCTTTTATTTATCTTTTTTATTTGTGGGAATGAGGTTTGAACTAAGGGCTTTGCACTCGCAAAGTAGGCACTCTACTACTTGAGCCACACCTCCAGTCCATTTTGCTCTGGTTATTTTTAGAGATGAGGCTGGCCTTAAACCTCAATCCCCCCGATATTGGCCTCCCAAGGAGCTAGGATTGCAGCTGTGAGCCACTAGTGCCCAGCTTCCTTTTCTCTCTCACACACACATACTCATGCCATGTGATGCCTTCCACTACCTCACACCACGAGGAGGTCCTCATCAGATACAACCCTTGACATTGGACTTTGCAGCCTCTAGAACTACAATCCAAATAGACTTCTATTGTTTATAAATTTCTCAGTCTTTGGTATTTTGTTATAGTAGCACAAAATGGATTAAGGCAGTCTCCTCACTCCAAAAAAGTAGCCACTAAACACTGGAAATTAAACTCAACAAAATAAGAATATCTGGGAAAGAAAAAGAAAAAAATTGTGATACAAGGTCTTAATTAAAAACAACAATGATAAAAATAATAAACTTAAGAAAGTGAAGAAATTTTAAAAAGGAAAACATCTGGTGACATATTCCAAATCAAACACATATTTTTAGATACATATTACTGTCTTAGTTTATGCAACTATATGTATGAAAAAAAAAACACAAAAAAGTAAAGCAAAATATATCTTATTTGTAACATCACCCCCAAACCTGTACATATCATTAATTTCGATATATTTTGGCTTTTGAGAATTACTCAACAGTGTTTGCCAACCAGAGATGACACTCTTCTCTAATCTGTTCGATTTCTGATAATACAACTCAGTTCTAAACTTTACCCCATTATGCCTCCATTCAGCTGAGTGAAAGAACACTCCAGCAGGCAAGAAGGCAGGGGAGAGAGAAGATGGTATGAGGGAATGAAGGAGCAGAAGGACAAGGAAGAAAGAGGGAAGCAGAAGAGAAGCTGGGGATAAGGAAAGATAAAGAAGAGGGAGAAAGCAAGGAAAAGAAGGCAGAAAGGGCCAAGGAAGAAGAGAAAAAAGGAGGGAAGCGAAAAGAAAAATACTTTTGGCAATATTTCTTCTTACCTGTGACAATAAAATGATTTTACATAACTAAATTGCTCTTCAGAAACCCCATAACTTTATAAAACCTTGATTCATATGGAATAATATAAAGAATATTACAAAAGCACTCACAATTTACCATACCATTTAATCTTCTTTTAAATTAAAACCTACAATTCAGTTCTGTTGTGTAAAATCTTGTATTTCAAAGCTAAAACATAATCCACTGTCAACTGAGATGTATCAGTAATCGTGATAAAAAAGGTAAACATGCAAACTAATAAACTATTATTTAAAAGGCTCATTTAGTCACCTGAATCACTAGATACAAACACATCATTGACATTTTACTAATTAAACCTCTAACAAGCTAATACAAACCTAGGATCTTCAAGTTAAAACATCTGGTTATTAACACTATAATGAATTTTATAAAGTTAGATACAGTCTAAAATCTCATATGCTTTAAGTTTGCAGTGATTCAAAGACACTAAATAAAAGATACCATTTATACTATTAATGAGGTATTTACCTTGTAGGTTAGAAAAAAAAAAGACATGGCTAATTATCATAAACCTAAGTATAAAACCTGAAACCAAAAACTTCTGGAAAAAAAACATAAGACAAAATATTTATGACCTAGGGTAAAAATATTCTCACAAAAGCACAATCCATAAAAGAAAAGAAAAAAAAGACAAACTGGACTTCACCAAATGAGCAACTTCTGCTCTTTGAAAGACACCATTAAGAATATGGAATAACAAATCACAAAATGGAAAGAAAACATTTGCAATTCATGTGATTAATAAGGAATTCAAAATATACAAGGTCTCATGATAAGAAAAAAACTTTAAAAGTGGTGGGTTACAAAGGTAAAAGAACAGAAAAAAGTAGTAGGGAGTGTAAAATGTGAACAGACACTTCACTAAAGAAAATATACAAAGGCAAATGAGCATATAAAAAGATGCTCAGCATCATTACTCATTAGGGAAATGCAAATCCAAACCACATTAAAAATCATCACACACTTCCTAGAATAGCTACACTTAAAAAACAAAACTGACAGTATTGCACAGTGATAAGTATACAACTGAAAATTTCTGGTGGGGGCACAAAACTTTACAGCCACTTTGGAAAACAATAAACATAATACAACCTTGCAATCTTCTCCCCCTTGGTATTTACCCAAATTAAATAAAAACCTATGGTTACCAAAAACATGCATGTTAATATTTATGGCAACTTTACTAATCACTCAAAACTGAAAACAATTCAAATGTCCTTCAAATGGGAAAGAGACAAACTATGGTACATCCATACAAAAGACTAACTCCTCCATAAAAAAGAATAAAATACCTAAACATGCAACAACATGGATAAATCTCAACAGCACCTGGCCAAATCACCAAACCCAGAAGGCTACATGTCATATGCTTTCATTTATATGACATTCTTGAAAAGGTAAAACTTTAGGGACAAAAAAACAGATCAAGGAATTGCCAGAGACTACGGGAAGGACTGAGTACACAGGAATAATGGAGGACTTTTTGGGATGATAGGACTTCTCTGTATCTTAACTGTGGTGGTCAGAACTGTTTGCCAAAACCCACACATATATACACTAAAAAAATGTGAATTTTTCTGTATATAAGTTATACCTTTATAAAAAGTAGTTGGTGACTCAAACAGCATAAAAAGATTATATTGATATAAATTATTAATAAGGCATTTACCTTGCTTTTAGTTAACAGTGTAAACCAGGCATATATTATTAAAATCACTTAATTACTAAAATGCTGACTTTCAATTCCAGGTAATCTGTCCTTTCTAGGTCTACAGCTAATTTCAAGATACATTCTTTATTAATATAAGAGCATAACAAGATTCCCAAACTGAACTAGGTAGTCTAGCCTAACAGATCAAAGAATAGCCCATTTTTATATTTATTCACTACAGAAAGCTTTTCATTTTAAGAACTGTATAGAAGCTATCCAAAAAAGAACACATCCAAAATCCAGTTTAGCTAAAAGTGTCTTTTAAAACATGTAAGCATCTGGCTATGGGAACAATGAATATTTCTTCTATGAAATACTTTATTGGCAAGCTAAACACTAAGGTGTTATATTCAAACATACAAGTTAGAAGACATAAAAATCCGTTTACTAACCAGCATATTAACTGTTCAAATATGTTTTGTAGCAATTTAAATTTTACTCCCTACCCCATGAAAACAAATTTTAGGTTACAATTTTAAAACACGAAAACACCGATCAACTTAAGTTGAAATATTTTAGAAATCCATTGCCTATGAGTTTCCAGTGCTGCTAAAATAAGAGAAAGATTCTGTTGTAAGAGATTAACAGAGGCCTTCAACTTGTTATATAAAATATATCCTATAAAATATACCTTTGAGTCAGGCACCGGTGGCTCACACCTGTAATCCTAGCTACTCAGGAGGCAGAGATCAGGAGAATCGAGGTTCAAAGCCAGCCCAGGCAAACAGTTCCTCGAGACCCTATCTTGAAAAACTCTTTACAAAAACAGGGCTGGTAAAGTGGCTCAAGCCCCAGTACCGCAAAAAAATAAGTAAATAAATAAATAAAAATTTATACATATACATATACACACACACACATATAAATACACACACACAATCCACACAATAAATACGTATTTGTGCTACCCCATTGGAAAAAAATGTATGAAAAACTTTACCCTCATATTCTCAGGAAATTCTTATCTTTGGTCACACACTACTTTCTGTTTAGAACATTATTCTTTATATTTTTTTTAATACAAAGCACAATCAAACCAAGTTGACAAATGAAAAAACAATAAAATAAAGCTGGAGTTCCAGGTAACAATAACCAGATGACTAGACCTGCCTGCCCATGAATTCACCAATACTCACCTGTAGGGGGATTGGAAGAAACAACAGGGGGAGTTGGAGAAGTGAAGCCATCAGCAAGGGTCTGGGCACCCCCAGCAGCAGCGTCTGGGGCAGTGGAGGAGGGGACAGTTGCAGGAACAAGAGGGGTGGGGGCAGATGCAGAAGTAGCAGGAAGGGGAGGAGTGCCAGCAGAGCCAGCAGGGGCTGAGAGGAAAGAGGAGTGAGAGGCAGCATTAATGAAGCAGTCACATTACGCAGCATCAGAAATGACATTAGAGTATTTAATGTTAGATATTTAGTGTTTAACACTAGCCAAAAGAATAGAGTTGAAAAGAATGAAGCTTATGCTAAAGGATTATTAGATATGCAGCACATAATTCAAGATGCTCAGGATAATGCACAAAATTTTTAGTTCACTAAAAACAAAACCTTCCTTTTTACCTGAAAGATACTAACCTAGAATCAAATTGTTCCCGTATATTATTTTTAGCATAACAGTCTACAAATAGTACACAAAAGTAAACATAATACACTAAAGAACAGTACACTATTTGAATTACAAAATCAGAAAACATATTCCAGATCATATCTTATCAGATAAAAAAGAACTTAAAACATACACACACACACACATACACACGTGCGTGCATTTTTTATGATTTTTCAAAGGTATTATTGACTTGTTATATGACAAGTATCATTTTTGTTTTTGACTTCTGTTGCTGTTGTTTTTTTTGGTTTTTGGCAGTACTGAGGTTTGAACTCAGGAACTCATGCTTGCTAGGCAGGTGCTCTACCACTTGAGCCACACACTCCTAGCCTCAGTTGATTTTTTTTAGTTCTCGGGTTTGAACTCAGGGTCTTATAATTGCTTTGCAGGCACTCTACCACTTGAGCCACTCCACCCACCAGTTTTGTTTTTATGGAACAGAGTCTCACTACGTGACCCAGGCTGGTCTCAAGCTCCCTATCCTCCTTTCTCAGTCTCCCAAATACAAGCATGCACCACCATGCCTTGCTTAAGTATGTAATACTCTATCCTGATGTCTTTTGTGTCATGCTTTTAAGACTAAATTTAAACTTTTGTATGTCCTAAAATTAAATAAGCATATTTTTCTGTTATCAATATGATTCTCACACCACAAATTCGAAATACCAAAATGACGCCTGAAATCTCAAAACACTAACTGAGCCACAGCACCAAAGGTGTAAAACCAAATTAACTGAGAAATACAAATATAGCAAAAATTTTAAAAGCCACTTGGTTAAAATAACAAATATATAAAGACTTCCCAACATTTATGGAGTCCTAAAGGAATAAAAAACATCCTGAGTGGGGAGAAAGCTCATATGCATGAGGCCCTAAGTTAAACTCCAGCACCACCGAAGAAGAAGTCCTTATAACAAAATGACAATCTGAATTCAGATTTGTAAAAGAAAAGTGTTTTTACCTGGAAAGACACTGGGAGGAGACGGAGTGGGAACAGCAATAGGAACCCCCACACTCCCACTTCCACTGTTCTCTCGACTGCTGCTCCGGCTACTTGGATGACTTCCTCCACTACTCCCACTGCTGCTAAAGAAATAAGAGCCACCAAAATATGAGTATTTACAGACACTGGGATATTGTCAGCATTTCCTAAAATTTTCTGAAATGAATACAGCTACAAGAAAGATAATTCAAAAACCTTCCATTTCAAATATGAACTTCTTACTAAAATTGGGAGAAAAGCTGAGTTCAGTAAGTTTTTATCAAGATACAGTAAAGAAATTGCAAAAAAAAAAAAAAAAAAAAATCTCCTTAAGTACAGTGAAAAATGTTGTGGCTCAACATACCAAAATAAGTATCACCTTCTAACATTCCAGTTTAATACCCAACTGAAGGAACTTCTTTTATTATAAAAACATTTTCCTAAATAAATTATTTGATTTCAATTTGTAATGATATTAATATATCATCCCATACTAGTATTTTATTGTATATAGTTTTTCATCTGTAAAGTTCCACCAAAAAACAACTTGAAATTTTCTACACCTGGTCCATAAATATTTTTTTCAGATTAAACTTTCATCTTTGTAGAGACGTTTGCACTTTGAGATATCTGTTCCTTTTCAACTTCTGACTGCTCAAAGTTGTATCAGAACATGAGGAAAGGTGGAATCAGATGAGGTTTGGAAGAGAGAAGTGAGGAAAAGAACTCAAAACTTAGCGCTTGGAAAATGAGAGATTTAACTGATGTCATCTGAATGGATTATGGTACTATGACCACCATATTTTGCTCTGAGGTAGAGAAAATACCTGTAAGTTCGATTTCTTTGATTCACAGAAGCTGTCCTCACAGGGCTCTGCTGCGAGGGAGCCATATTACGGGTTGGGCTAGGTACGTAATCATTTGGTACCACTGGAGGACGCACTGGCTCCAGTGTGCGATAGGGGGAGTGCCGCCTACAAAAAGAAGAGCGTATGTATGGTGTGATTAAGCAAGTTTCGGCACAATAAATTTAAAGAGTTGCCAGTAGTGAAATACAATTTGTAATCAGAAACAGGCAATGTGGTTTAACCCAACTACCAATTTCAGTCTTTCCTAAAGTACACTCCTCCACTATTAGGGTTTTGGTGAATTACATTTCTGTCTCCAACCTCATTTCCCTGTGCTAATGCAATTTTGTTCATTTATTCTCCAAGACACAAAGGTTTTCCACCATCTAAGCAAATGTTTCCTAAACTACTCTTAGAAGACTTAAAATTATATTATTATGTTAAAGTCTCCCAATTGCACTGCATCAATGCACTAATTATCTTCCTCTCCCCTCTCACCCTAACCAAAGAAAAGGACAACAAATCTAGATTTTGGATCCATGAATTCCACACTGATGATCAATACCACCAGCTATAAGAACTCATTTCCCTTTCTATATACTAAATACATAGAAATCAAAGTCCATTTGTATACAGAAATACACTAATTTCATCTTCCTTTCCTACAATCTCACTTTTTCCTCAACTTTCACCTTCATCTCTTTCCTCTTTCCCTCTTCAGAGTTCAATATTTAAGAGGGAGAAATTAATTTTAAAGATCAGCCAAGCCCTTCTACATTATTTATTTTAAACTTCAAGATATAAACCAAATGATATTATTAACATTTATTTCCCTCTTCTACCCAAATTTCTCTTTAAAAGGAAGAGGATGAAAAGACTAAGATAAAGAAAATTTAGCAGGAAGAGGCACTTTGGTACATTCATGATTATTAAATCAATTCTCATCTCTAAGTGTCCAAATTCTTCATGGCAATGATAAATATGAAACTGGTATTTTACAGATAAGATTCTGATCTTAAAAAATGAAAACTGGCATCTCAAGATACAAAAACTAAAAAGTTATCTTCCTCTTGAAATGATGATGCTCCACTGACTTATAATATTTCTCAACACTTCACTTCCCAAAAGGCTTCCAGAGTTTAAGTATAAAAACAAAAAACTGATTTAACTTCCAAACATCCAATTTTTAGACAACGTTTTCCAGACAATAAAAATGTTCTGCTTCGTTCAAGAAAAAAACTTTTGTTAACTGAGAGATACAAAGTGAAGGCAATAATATAAACAAGGTAAAAAAAAATAATAAGGGTGAGAGGAAGAACATATGATAACTAGGCAAAGATTATATGGGGAAAAAAAAAAAAAGCCCATGACCATCAACTGGCCAAGTGGTACTCAACAACTCTGGTCTCCAAGAATCCTACAGAAGCATTGCTAATACCCATGGAAAACAAACAATGGTATATAAGTGTATCTCCAAAATTTGAGAGAAAAATAAAATTTTATTTTTCTACTAAGTGGGTATCTTGCAAACAATCTTGATCTAAAACCTATCAAAACCTATTAGGCACTATGCATGTGAATGTACTACAGGAAAATAAAACAAATACTTCCTTTTGGTCCCTCTACTCTGACCCCTACACCATTATACCCTACTACATCATCTGCATTACCTAAAGTTTATTTGATCCACTAGATTCTTTCCTCTCTATGTTAAGCAGAATGTTTCTGACCACTTCAAATAAAGCCATCCTATTCCTGGTTGGTCATTTTTATTTTTTGCCATCCATTGTCCAAACTATAATTCCTCTTCTAACATGTTCCTCCTTTATATCCCACTCATCTTTGTTCTGTCCTGACCCACAGTGCGTGACTGAATTTTGGTTTGGGGAAGGGGAGAGATTTTTGTTTGGTTTCGGTTTTTGTTGTTGTTTTGGTTTGGTGTTTGGTGGTGGTGGTGGTGGCGGGTGTTTTTTGTTGTTTTTGTTTTGTTTTTTTTGGTGAGGGGGCCAAAAACAAGATTGTGAATTAAAAACTTTTAAAATATATCACAAAGCCAATAGTTGTCAAAGTATTTTGTCTTTGCCTTATACATTTTCTAAAATCCAATTTGTGGTACAGTAATTCTGAAAAGTTTATAGGACAACTATTACCCCCTTTTACAGATGAAAAAACTGAACTGTTGAGACGCTGACTACACAGGACCACAGGGCACACAGCAGAGCTAAACCAGAATTGTACTCATCTGGCTTCTGGGCCATATTATGCATATCTGATCATAAATCTCAAACAATGATAAATGAAGCATATACTATAATGCTATAGAAGGAAAAAAGTCAAGCTTTTCCATTAATTGACCATTTTTGCCTATGTCAAACCCAGAGCCCAATTCTGTAGCACAAAATCAAAGCTCAATGGTATCATAACATGCTATACCGAATTTTATAAGCTACAGAGCATTCTTGAGAAGGATAGTCTAGTAAATTCAACTATAATACAAATGGACTATTGAAAACTTTCTGAAGAGAAATTAAATTACACTGTAATTTATAACAAATCATGAATTTGTACTAAAGATTTTATATCAATTTAAAATTCATTAGAAAAATAATTTCTGAACAAATTTTTTGAAGTATAAAGATGTGCTTCCCAAGAAAATGGAAAGTTATATACACAAAAAAACAATCCTAGGAAGAAAATGTTCTTGCTTCAAATATTGAAAACTAAATATAGGCTGTGTTTCACCACATAAAATGGTTTTCCATTATTACTTAGTTATATACTCACCCAAGTGTCCCTTTCCCTGACATTGGGGGGCTAGGGGGTTTCTGAGTTGGAGGTGTTGTACGTGGCAGCCCACCCATCTTCATATTCTGGGTACTCACCTAAAAAATTGTGAGGAAAACTCAACTTATACACAGCGAAATGAAGTGGCACTTTTGGGAAATAATGCTATGCTATTTAACAAAGGAGGGGAAGGTGTAAACATAAGGAAAAAAATCAGAGGCCATGCATTTCATATGAAATTTCTACTCTACTATTATTCTACAGTTGTACTCAAAGGACTCTTCCTAACATGAGATTTTCAAATGCTTATAAACTTGTATGCAAAGAATTTATTTGCCATTAGACCATCACAACAACAGATCACTGGTTAGACTATGTGATATTAAAGTCAACTGATATCAAATAAATTACTTATGAAAATTTTAATTTTAATAAAAAGCAACTTAATCAGAAAGAAAAAGACCTTTAAATAATGTTTTTTTGGCGGACTGTTTCCTTTAGATAGCAAGTATAGCATAAACAAAACATGTTTTCCAACTAAAATAATGCAATTATGTATATGTGCAATCCATTATAACTAGAGAACACAAAATAAAGATATACCGAAAAAACTTCAGTTTTTTAAGCTGTGGATCCCCCTTACATTTGTTTTTAAAATGTACTCTTATGAGGAAATCACCTACCTGAAAACTGCTACAAGTTCAAGGCATATTCCTAAACATCTGAACCAGAACATCAGGGCTGAGGTATGCCATTTGCCTAGAAGCAGCACAAAGGCCACTGCCATCATCTTACTTCCAATGGGAACTGGATGTACTCAGACCTAAACTAAAGGTTAACTCAGGCATCAGAAAGTTATGGCATGATCCTAAATCAGAGCTGAATCATGACTACACTGACTCTTCTATTCTTAACTGAAAATGTAAGTGTAAGAAAAATGGCTAATCTGAGAATAAAAGTCACCAATAGAGTATGCCAACACTTACAGCAAAAGCCCTAGAAATCTGGTTATCTTACGAGAACCTAAAAGGAGTCATTCACAAATACAGATCAAATGCAATCTCAAGTTGCTTCAGACTACCAATAGGTTAAGCTAATGCTCACCAAATAGGTTCAAATATGACCCTATTTTAAGCTTCTAATATTCTGCCATCTTGTGTCATCTTCAAAAGAGATTTCAAACAAGATGTCAAATTTCTGTATCTAGAGTATTAAAATTATAGTTATAACATGAAACTGCATATTGTACCACTGAAATTAAAATACATTATAATTGTAATTTCAAAATATAAATTTTAAGAAAACAAATCACAATTACACATATGATTGTGGCTGTCAAAATCCTGGCTTAGGTGGGATTTTTTTTTAAGCCCTACTTCTTATATGAATAGCCAAGAAATAATACGTCAAAATAAAATTCTTCAAATCAATAGCCCAGTGAACAAGTTGTGTGTGATGTTAAAACAATCATTAATGACAAATGATACCTTTGAAATGTCAATATTTTCAAAGAAGCATTTATCTGTAATCCTTTTGTTGTTGCTTTTAAACAATAAAAACAAAACAAAACAATTATCAAATTAAGAATAAAAATTAACTTATCCTTTCTTTCCCCCTCATTAGTAAGCAGAGGGTATACTAATTTTATCTCAAAATAAAAATGCCAGAAGCTTGTACAAAATTAATCCACTTTTGGGGAAAAGTTTAGTAGTAATCTGACAAATAACCACCATAGCTTTTAAAAACTGTTTATCTTAACGATACCAAAAAATTTTAAATATAGTAACCAAAGTCCTTTAAGCTCAACCTTAAACAATATAAAATCCAAAGTTACTTTGTGATGAGCAAGAAGTGAACCAAACACTAAACTACAAATCAATTTGCTAGAAACAGGAAGGAAAAAGAGCAAGAATAGTAAAAGAGTAAATGAGAATTTTATTCTATACATGGGATAGCTAAAATACTTGAAAATAATTTTTCAACTTTGATTTATTTCAGCTTTTGGTATGTAATGTGTTATTTTTAAATTGCAGTATCTTCTGTAAGACTTAGAACATAAGAACACATCCTAAAAATACAATAAAATAAATAATCTATAAATTAAAATCTGGTGGGCATGTGCACAAACAAAATCCAATATATTTTATGATCTGTAGCTCAAATGATTTTATCTGTCTGGTTAATGAGATGGATGAGTAACTTAATCACTTAAGGAACCAAACAGGCTGTATGCTGGTGGCTCACGCCTATAATCCTATCTACCTGGGAGGTTAAGATCAGGAGGATCAAGGCTGGAGGCCAGCCCAGGCAAACAGTTCATGAGACCGCCATCTCCAAAATATCCAGTGCAAAATGAACTGGAGGCATGACTTAAGCAGTGGAATGCATGTTCTGCAAGCATGAAGCCTGAGTTAAACCCCAGTCCCACCAAAAAAAAAAAAAAAAAGTCCTTGTGTAATGTTCAAATATTACACATTATAGTTCAATGATACTGTATTTCTTTTTATTAAGCTAGAAGACTTTTTCAGTATTTTCTCAAGGCCATTTTCCTCTGTGAAACATGTTTCTGTGCTGTGTGACATAATAAAAATATTAAGCAGAGTAGAAATGCTACCATCAAATTTATTTTTTTTTAATTTTTACTTTATTCATATGTGCATACAATGTTTGGGTCATTTCTCCCCCTTCTCCCCGTCCCGTCCCCTCCCTTAACACCTCCCCCACTCCCTCCCTTACCCCCCCTTACCCCTCGCTACCTGGGAGAAATTATTTTGCCCTTATCTCTAATTTTGTTGAAGAGAGAGTATATAAGCAATAATAGGAAAGAACAAGGGTTTTTGCTAGTTGAGATAAGGACAGCTATACAGGGAGTTGACTCAAATTGATTTCCTGTACATGTGTGTTACCTTCTAGGTTAATTCTTCTCGAACTAATCTTTTCTCTAGTTCCTGGTCCCCTTCTCCTATTGGCCTCAGTTGCTTTAAAGTATCTGCTTTAGTTTCTCTGTGTTGAGGGCAACAAATGCTATCTAGTTTTTTAGGTGTCTTACCTATCCTCATACCTCCCTTGTGTGCTCTCACTTTTTCATGTGATCAAAGTCCAATCCCCTTGTTGCTACCATCAAATTTAAAGTAAGGGAAGAACAGGAACAAATGTCAAATAAAACTTAATTTCCTTATAAAACGTAGAACCTATATTATAATAGAAGTCAAATGAAAGTCAAATCTAAAATAATTTGGTAAAAAAAAAAAAAATGTGCTGAATAGCCATCATGGTCCTAAAATCATTTTGAGGGAAGTGTTTAAGAAAAAATATTTCCTGACAAGTAGCAAAACACATAACTGAACTGTGTGAGTAGTACAGGGGAACTTAACTTATGCATGCATGTATGCATGTGGGTATACAAACACACACCAAAAACTTGGAACAAAAAAAAGGCTGCAGACACTTCATAATAGCAATTCCCCTTGAAATATTTTTTAATACAAACATAAGGGTGGGCATGGTGGTTCATTTCTATGATCTCAGCTACTCAGGAGGCTGAAGCAGGACAATCACTTGAGCCTAAGCGTTCAAGACCAGCCAGGCAACACTGTGAAACCATATCTTGAAAAAAAACAAACAAACAAACAAAAAAAAAAACCTGGGGGTGTAGCTCAGTGGTACAGTACTTACCTAGCATGATCAAAGCCCTGGATTAAACCCCTAGCAGTACAAAAAAAAAACAGAACTACCATCAGGTACATAAATGTACAGCTAATGATAATGAATCATAAGCAAGAGTGTTCATTATACTTTCAGTTTTATTTGGAAATTGGAATGAAACTCTGGTGGCTAACTGCCACAATAATTTCATTTTATGGCTATTATTTATTCCATAAAGTAGAAAATTATCAAGAGTTAAGTGAAACAGGCATTAGGCACAAGGAGGGAAAAGTCGGAAGAGTCCTTTTTTTTTTCTCTGCCACTGAGAATCAGAAGAAATATTTAAGTCATGAAAGTTAATTCACGGCCATAGTTCAAATACTTTTCCACTGACCTATGATGAAGGACTTCCTTTAATGACCAAGAGTAGTCTGGTCTCCTAGGCTATGGAGATCTCTACAAGTAGCACTATACGCCAGGCTAATTATTATACGTTAATGTTTTTTCTACAGCACTCCCAGCTTTCCTGCTCTATCCTTTTGGTATATTCAGTATCTCCGTGAATCTTGATATACATATCTATAGTCACGTGCCAAATAATGTTTCAGTCAACAACAGACTACTATACAATAGTCCCATAAATATCCCCTAGTGACATTGTAGATATCAGAGTCTGTTTAACTACACTCCATGATGTTCACCCAATGGCAAAATAAACTATTGATGTATTTGTCAGGATGTATCTCCATCATTAAGCAACATGTGGCAGTGCTTGGTCTGGGAATGAAACTCACTGCAGTGTGCTTGGCCTAGCATATGAAAGGTCCTAAGTTCAACACACAGCACCATGAAAAAGGAAAAGAAAAAAAGCAGTGCTTTCCAGCATCCTCTGAACTTCAGCATTATTTCTAAAGTTGGCCAGCCAAGTATCTCTAGTTCAAAGGTGACATGACCTCTGCTATGTAATCTCCCACTCAGAGATGACCTTATGTAATAGAACAGTGGCAGTTACATTTTAAAATGGTATGTGTGATATATCCCTCATTTGTCAATCACTAACCAGACAACTGTATACAAGAATAAAGGCCAGTGGCAGGGGCAAGGAGAGAGGAGAGTCTAGGGGACACAGTATTTATAAAAGGAATAAAATGACTCATGTTTAAAACAAAAAGAGATGTCTACAAATTATATAGAAATCAGAGACACACACACACACACAAAAGAATTAATATGGGAAGAAACTGTTATAGAAAGATTTCATAAAGATAACCTGAGCTGGACTGTTAAGTTAAAAAACAACAACTGGGACTCAGCTACAACAGCTGTAGCTAAGTGGTAGAGTGCTTGCCTAGCATGCCCAAGGCCATGGGTTTGATCCTTAGCTTCACAAAGAGGAAACATGAAGAAGGAAGCGGAAGGAGGTGGAGGAAGGAGAAGGAGAAAATTCCTGTTAGATTTTTCTAGGAGCCCCTCAGTTGAACCTATTTCTTACATGGGAGCAAACACTGAACCAAGGTAGGTCAAGAAGGAAACACAGTACAGACTGAAGGAAGTAAGTTGGGATACTGGCTTGGAAAACTGGTCCAAACATTAAGGGTAAAGGATCTACCTTTGGTGGGTTTTTGTTTTGTTTCGTTTTGGCAGTACTGGGATTTGAACTGAGGGTCTTGTGCTTGAGTGCTACACCACTTCAGCCATAGCCCTTTTGCTTTAGTCATTTTTCAGGCAAAGTCTTGAACTTTTTGTTTAGTGCTGGTCTCATTCCATCATCCTCCTACCCCTATCTCCCATATCAGGTGCACACCATCAACACCTGGGCTTTTTCTGTGTGTTCTTTAGTTAATATTTCTGTGTACTTTGGAGGTTAACACATCAAGAACCAAAATTTAAGCACAATCTTTAGGAGAAAGGGTAAAGGCAGCCACACAGTCTACTTTTAGTCTAGCTCACTACAACCTTCCTATTTTACAAAAAAGAATCTCCCCACAATTACACATACCTAACTCACCAAGACTGAGGGTTTAGAGCCAACACTCCAATCAACAACAAAGGAGTACATTTGCCTGGGCTCTTCTAGTGAGGTCTGTCTACCATGACCAGGTGAAATGTCTGTCATGATGGCTAGTAACTAGTGAATGATAAAAGAACGCAGTCATCTTCTAGTTATCACTCCCTGCACTGAAGACATGGCAAACAACAGGGTATGGGATAAAAAGAAATATATTTGAAAAGAAATTTTAAAACTCAGCTAAGAAAACAAAAGAAGAAAATGCATGCTCAGTTTGATAAAAATAATTTTGGTAACATATAATTTGAAGGCTTCTTGAATATAGTTAAACTACTTTTACCATTAATCCTCCCAAGTACTAAAATGTTACTCAAAAAAAACATAACAGGAAAAAAAAATGTTTGGAGTGCTAGGAACTGAATACAGGGCCTGCACAAATGGTAGGAAAGTAAGTACTGTACCACTGAACATCGCTAACCCTCTTCTTAAATGTACCTTGTTAACATTATCATGAGCTTTTCATATTTTCCATATAATTTTCACCTTTAAAAACTCTTAAATAGTTTATATTGAAATATATTTTACATAGCTATTTAAAAAAAGGAGTAATTCTTTTTGTAAAATACATGATACTGCAACTTAAAAAATACATGACGAATATTTTCTGCTTCTCAGTTTCTTTATATTCAGTCAAAATGTAATGACGTTGTCAGTAAGGTATATGGTAACGCATACCACTTATAGAATAAAAAGGCTATTACACAGGGGGAGGGTTCAATAAAGCACATAAATTGGCCTCCAATCCATAACAGAATTTCTACATTTATTCAAATCCAGTTAATCTCATTTCATAACAACATTTTATGGTAGGGTAGCTTACATTTCAGTTTCATCAAACATAGTAACATTACAGAATAACCATTCATTCAACAAATACTTACTGAGCACCTAATGTGTGCCAGCACTGTTCTAGACACAAAGGTTAGAGCAGTGAACAAAATTAGACAAAAATATGTCCACCCTCAAGAACATGAAGACACACCACAAAGTTGCATAACAAAAAAATAAAGAAGTATCATTTGTTGACTTTAAAAGGCCAAGTGCCAATGATCTCCCCATATGTAATATTCTACATAAGAACAAAGAATGGAAATCCAGCCCTGGAATCTCTTACCTTAAATCTAAGCAACCACTTAATGCATAAATGGAGCAAATAAAAGAGGTAAGGAAAAAAAGCATTGAAAGGTTAGTTGGAACTTCAGGATGTGAAGAGAAAGGAAAACAAAGAAAAAACAAGTTAAGCATTCAGCATTAACAAAACAATGTTTCAGTAGATCATAGAGAGAGTGGTTAAAGCAGAATGTGTCATGAACAGAAGTTTCTTTGATGAAATTATTTAAGACACTGCTTTATTCAAAAACTAAATTTCATTCAAGATTTCTAAATTGTGACCTTTGAACACTAAAGCACAAATAATAAAGGAGTCCTAAAAGAATAACACTTGCTTTTTAAGAACTGCAGGAGATAATCACCTCTTTATTATACAAACAGGAAAGCACGAATGTGATTTTTTTTTTTAAGTATTCCAAGTGTCTTTTGGCATTAGATTCTGGAAGTACCCTAAAACAGTCTATTGGAACTTTTCTTTTGTTTGTTTTTCTTTTTGCAATACTAGGGTTTCAAGTCAGGGCCTTGCATTTGGATGCTGTACCACTTGAGCCTTGCCTCTAGCCCTTTTCTGCTAGTTATTTTTCACAATTTTGCCTGGAGCCAGCCTCTGTTTAGCTGGGATCACAGGCTCAGGATACAGTCCTGGCTTATTGATTGAGATGGGGTTCTCTAACTTTTTGGCCAGGCTAGCCTCAAACTGCATCTATACCTCCCGAATGAATAATCAAGTAACTGAGATTACAGTCATGAGCCAAGTTAGAATAAACTTACATATTCTATTTTAATATGCACTAATTAGTAACCTAAATATACATAGGTATCAATTATAAAATTTAGTATCATTCTAGATAATAATGCTTATATCAAATCTCTGAGGATAAGATCTTATAAAAAATAAATTTACACTGTACATTATTTTCTCTACATATATTTAAATTAAATTTGGATTTAACTAACTTCTGGCCAAAATAATGATGTATTTTTGGCAGCACTGGGATTTTGAACTCAGAGCCCTGTACTTGACAGGCAGGTCTACCCCCCCTCCCCCACATGTCCCCAGCCCTTTTAGGTTCTAGTTATTTTTCAGATAGGGTCTTGCTTTTTTGCCTGAGGCAGGCCTCAGAAAGACTTCAATCCTCCTACCCAATAGCCTCTGAGGAGCCAAGATGACAGGCATGAGCCACAGCACCTGGCCTTGTATTTTTTTATTTATATATGCTTATATTAAGCTGGGCACAGGTGGCTCACACCTGTAATCCTAGCTACTCAGGAGGCAGAGATCAGGTGGATCGTGATTCGAAGCCAACCCCAGGCAAATAGTTTGAGACCGTATCGCAAAAAAAAACCATCACAAAAAAGTGATGGTGGAGTGGCTCAAGGTGAAGCTCTGAGTTCAAACCCCAGTACTGGGGGTGGGGGGGGCAAGCTTGTATTAGAAAAAAATCCACTACATGAACTATACAACTTCACTACAGGCATACATGTATATACATGCATCAGTCACGTTTGATACGTCATAGTCTTTCCAAACAAAATGGAATATAAATTTTAAATAAGGTAACACTTAACTGAGACTTAAATGGTTCCTTAAGTACAAGCATCAATTTAACTGAAATTTACAGGGCTGGAGGGTGGCTCAAGTGGTAGAGTACCTGCCTAGCAAGCATGAAGCTCTCAAACTCCAGTAGCACCAAAAAAATAAATTAATTAAATTTAAAAACAAATGAAACGTACATGTTCCTCAGTTGTGGTTGGGTATTTTAATTGTTACTGCTGTTGTTGTGCAGGGCTAGGGATGGAACCAAGAGCCTTACAAATGCAACTGCCACAGGATCACATCCTCACTCCTCCTCAGTTTTAACTATGGTGTTCACATACATAGTTGGCACTCAAATACACCTTAAAAGATAGCCAAAATGGGTTGGCAGAGTAGCTCAAGTGGAAGAGAGCCTGCCTAACAAACATGAGGTCCTTGACTGAGTTCATGTCCCAGTACCTCCAAAACAGAGTTAAATGTATAATGACTACATACTCAAAAGCAGTGGAAATATTAATGCACATCTTACTTTTATCTACACTATTCTCACCCAAAACACTGCATTAAAATTATTCTAGAAAGTCAAAGTACATTGTTTAGTGACATATTTTGTTTCTGAAAACTAATGCCAAAAGTCTACTGATAAATTTTTGAGATATGGTAAATATTTTAATAACATGCTAAGTGATTTTCAATCAGTCATTAAGCCATTAAAAGATTAGAAAGATAACACAATTTATTTGATCCATATGAGATATTATCATAATTAAGCAAATGTAGTTTTTTCAAAGACTGTTCAAAACTTGAGAATACAACACTAAAGAAAAAGCAAGAAGACTAATACAGTTAATTAGCAATCTTCACAACCACAAGTGAAAGTTAAGTTCCATTTTAAAAGCTACTATTTCTAAAAGTTTGACAAAAACTATACCTACCTTTACTCCATGTCCAATATCATCTAGAATTGTATAGTCAATAGGTTTTCTAATGTAACGAACGGGTCGTTCAAGGTTAGCTGGCGCAATAATCTTATGTGTCCTTGAAGTGTTTTTATTAGTAGTCAAAATACCAATTTCTCTTCTTGCCACTTTCTCTTTATGAATATCAACTGTCTGTAAGATACAATACAAAAAATACAACACAAAAATACATAGCTCTGGTATCCAGAAAAATAAAAAACAAAAATGCCTAAAGATTTAGTATTGCTTCACATTCACTTGCTAAATTTTCTCCTTCTAGAGCACTGTCTTTCTGCATTTTTAGGCTAATGCAAGAGTTGGCAAAGCATGGCCACAGGCTAGATCTGACCCACTAATTGGTTTTTTGAATCCACAAGCTCTGAGTAGTGTTTACATTTTTGAATGGTTGAGAAAAATAATGTCATGTAAAATTCAAATTTTAGTTTCCTCAATTTTATTGAATCACAGCCATACTGCTCACTTGCCTACTTCTCTATGGCTACTTTTACATATGGCAGAGGTAAGGAATTCCAATAGAGAATGCATGATCTACAAAGTTTAAAATAGTTACTAAAATGATTGTGGCTTGAGGTAAACTTGAAACAAAGTCAAAGCCTATTTCCCTATTAACCAAGAACTCTTCAAACCAATAGGATTCTGTTTCAGAACTAATAAATGTCCAAATGGAGCATCAAGTCAAAAGCTGGTCAGCATAGTAACCTTATCAAGTATTCTTTTTAAGAAAAAAAAAAGTCTCTGAACTTTTCCTGAGCATTTTATTTAAATTATAAGACTTGCTATAACAGAAATGTGCATTAGTGATATTAAAATTTCCCTAACTTTTAATTTCAGAGAAATGGAAATCTGAATAAAGCTTAATGCGTCATCTTGAATCATTAAAAACATGAGCTAGCCAGGCTTGATGGCTCAATCCTATAATCCTAGCTACTCAGAAGGCAGAGATACAGAAGATGGCAGTTCGAGGCCAGCCAGGGCAAATGGTTCACCAGACCACATCTTAATCATAAAAGCTGGGTTCAGTGGAGTGCATCTGTCACTACTCGGGAGTGCAGATCAGGAGAATCAAGTTTGAGGCCACCACAGGCAAAATCAAAACTCTATCTCAAAAATAACCAACGCCAAAAGGGCTGGCAGAGTGACTCAAGTGGTAGAGCAGCTGCCTAGCAAGCTTGAGACCCTAGTTCAACCTCCCATTTTTGTAACTGTCGGGGAAGGTCATGGGCTAAAGGGCCCAGCCTGGTGGTGAATGCTCAGGAAAGGCAGATCAGGAGGATCAAGGTTTGAGGCTAGCACAGACAAAAACAAGATCCTATCTAAAAAGAACTTTACCAAAAAAAAAAAAAAGACTAAATTATTTCAAAGTTTTTACCAAAGTGTACTTCAAAATAAACCACCACCAGAAAACAAAACTGGCACTTTTGGTCTATATCAGATCAATAAAAGAAGGTAACTCTCTTTGCGGTCTTGTCTTACTCTCCTCAGTTTTTAGAAATGTACTTTTATTTCAGAAATGAATCCATAAGAATGTAAGCCTAACCAACCACAACAGTACTCTAAGCTTATAGCAAAGTGAAATGTCAATTCACATTTTGGGCCCAATAATTCTGTGTTGGATGAGCTGTCCTAAGTACTGCAGGATATAAAGAAGCATCCAGGTAGGTACCTATAGCACTGCCCCAACCCATGATAACCAAAACTGTCTGACATTGCCAAATGTTCCCTTGAGGGCAAAACTGCCCTGGTTGAGAACCAAAGATACAGAAGAGGAACAATTCCTTATTCACTCTCATACAGCAAGTGTTTTCAAACTTTTCACAAAAGTTGATTCAATGCCTCTAATGCCTGCCTAAGAATAGAGATTCTGCACCATTAACTTTTCTCAAATGTCTACAATAATAAAGGTAATTATTTGGTTAAGAATATCAGTATTAGTTTGTATGCCTGCCATACCAGGTTGAAGTGCCAGAGTTTCTACAGACAAAAATCAAATATACCTTTCAAAAATGCCTGCTTTTTATGTGGAGTTTACATAAAAACACGATGAGGAGCATTAAATCTATTCCATAAGTAAGGGGAACATTTGGTCCAAAAGATTCTGAGGTTTTCAGCAATCACCTACTTCAACTTTTTTTAAGTTTTCTCTTTTAGAAAATAAAAGAATATTCAAATTACACATAATAAAATGCATACCACCAATCCATACCTATCACCTAGTTTCAACATTAATCTACTTAAAAGATACTTAATAAAATTCCTGCAACATTTTTAAATAAAAAATGACTACCGTTTTTCTAAATCAAATGTCCAGCTTTCAGTAATCACCACTGCTTTTATAAACTTCATAATATTCTCTGACATTATAATGCTAAAATGCATTAAATCAAATATTTGGAAATATGGGATCAACAGTGAGATATCTATCTATCTATGTATCTATCTATCTATCTATATTTTTTCTTTTTGGCTGTACTGGGGTTTGAACTCAGGGCCTCATGCTTACTAGTCAGGTGCTCTACCATATGGGTCACTCTGCCAGTCCTGTTTTTGTGATAAGTCTTGCAAACTATTTGCCCAGGCTGGCTTGGAACTGTGATCCTCCTGATCTCTGCCTCCTGAATAGCTAGGACTACAGGCATGAGCCACTGATACCTGACTAACAGTGATACTTAAGAAGTTTTAATAACAAGAAAAGTATTTTAAATATATCCTGGGTTTCTAAAGTTATTAATTATATGACAATATAAACTTACTCTTATTTAGAAGAGGCTACAATAATAACACTCACCTGTGGCAAGTAAAAATGTGTTAAGCTATCAAGCAAAGAAGACTAAAACTAATCCTATATTAACTGCTGTTAATACTACTATTGCTTGCTACAGATCCTGATAACCAAAAAACACACCAAGGAATATCACTGCAATTGTGCAAGATGAAACATCTCTTCTTCCCATCCTTCTCACTGCTACTGCCAAGCTGGTCTTGCATGTTGCAGCTCCCTCTGACACTTCAGCCACACAGTCCCAAATCCAGGTTCCTATGGGAGAGCTCATATTGCCTTGAGGTAATCCTACTGACTCCTCCGAGCTCCTTTGCAAGCCTGAGCCCCTCTTCTACAGCTCCCTCATGGATTCGCACACAAGCTCAGGCCCCAGCAGATGACAGGAAGGAACTGTATAAAATACTTTGTTTTAGGCTCATCCATGCATTGTTGTTTCTGTTTACCACAGATAATTGAGAGTTGACTGTACTACTGTACTGAGGTAGTATGGATAGCACTACCTTAGTTAGCTGCCAATAAGTATAGAAAAAGATCTGCAATCAAATAGTTACAGTTGATTAACTCAACGGAGCTGGGTGCTTTTTAATATGTCTCAACTTTTTTTATTAGTAAGCAAATGTTTCAACTAAATTACTTAAACTACAAATGTGCTCCAAATTATCCATCTCCCTCAGCCAAAAAAAAATCAGCTACTAGCAAACTTAATGGGTAACTTTTGATTACTCATTTTTATAAAGTAATATAAAAACTACACATAGGAAATTAATTAGGTATGAAATCTACTGTATATGCATAATACTGATAACCTTAAGTGGTATTTCCTTAATTTAAGATTAATTTTTAAGCAAAACTATGTAATTTTAAATGAAAATTATCCTACAAGTTGAACTTCTTCAAGGTTTACACCTCCCACTGCCTTTCTGTAAAACTTTTGGGAAGAACTGCTCTCAGTCTTCTAGTTTCTTTTTTTTTTTTTTTGGTTATCTACTAATTCAATTCCTGACACAAGAAGTTCTATTCAGTTCTCGTGAGGGTGGGAAGAACACTACTTTCTTTATGGTACCTTTTGACCTCTTCTCTTCTTTTCCTCCTTTTCAGTACTGGATATTAAACCCAGGGTCCATAGAGCTACATCCTCAGCCCTATATTGTCCTTATATTACTCCTCCCCGAAAAAGCCTGATACTACATATTCCTAATGAAGTCTGCCTTTAAAAAAAAAAAAAAAAGGCATTTAGACCAGGTGTTTTGGCTCATCCCAGCCATTCAGAAGGTGGACATCATGGTTATGGGCAAAAAATTAACAAATCCCATCTCAACCAATAACTGGGCATGGTAGTACATTCCTGTGGTAAGACCTAAATAGCAGGACTGCAGTACAGGCAGGCCAGGACAAAAACACAAGACAGGAGATAACTAGAGGCAACAGGGCTGAAGACTTGGCTCAAGTGGCAGAATGCCTGCCTAGCAAGCACGAGGCCCTGAGTTCAAACCCCACTAACTAACACTAACACACACACACACACAGGTATTACTTTACTTTGCTTTATAGGTATATTTTCCTTCCTAATATGTAATTGGTAGTTGACAGAATAAACAGAAATTCCCATCCTCTGATTCCAATTAAGAGTAATTTGGGAAATAGTTCAGTTAGAATAATGGAGAGCTGAGATCGGTGGACACAGATTTGAGGCAGGTAACAGAGCCAACAGAAAAGAAACAGACACAAATATAAATCAAGCTCGAATAAAGGAAGAATAAAAGGATTCAAGATAGAAGACAGCTCAGAACTCATCTAATTATAGCCTTGTTGTTTTACAAAAGGAAAAACTGAAATTCAAAGAAATCATATGTCACACAAGTCAGCAGAAGAGCCAGAGTACCATTTCCATTCCCTGACCAGTCCCCTCCCTTTCAGTCTGAGTCAGGGTCCATTTCCCCTACGATAAAAGATGTAATCACTAGGAAGGTGAAAATTGATGTTGTTCTTACCCAAGAAACAGAAAAAAAGTATTAATTAGGGGGAAAACCTGAATGCTTAGCTAGCTACCATCTACTAGCCCTGAAACATTCTACCAGATAACCCGTACAACTCCTGAAACCTGCTGCCACTCTAATAAATATGTGGTCTTGTCTCTGACTTGACTGAACCTCCATTTCTTTATTTCAACTCCATCTTCTCTAAAAATTCTGAGACTCCAATATTTTTGTCCAAGTTGCACAAACCTCTGGTCTCAGAACCCTCTGAGCCTTCTAAAAACATGTACTATTTTAACAATAATACAGATAATAATAATAGTAAAACTTAAGAATCAAACATTTGAAAAAACTATTTTAAGAGCAGAGGCTGCTAAAATACGGCTACATGGGAAATCTGACCTCGGACAGTTTTTATATCACCCACAAACTAATAATGGTTTTAACATTTTAAACAGTTGTCAAAACACACTGAGTGTGGTGGTGCACACCTGTAATCCCAGTACTCAGGAAGCTGAGGTAGAAGGATCACCAGTTTGAGGCCAACCTAGACTATACAGCCAGAGCCTGTCTCAAAACACACACACACACACCCCAACAAAAATACACACAAAACTTAAAATATTTACCATCTGCTCCTTTATAAATAAAATTGGCCTGTTCGTTTTAGAGTATTTAACCAAGTAGTCACTTCTTAAACAGAAAACATTTTCTTTTACACTTCTGGGAGAATAATCTCCCACTTGTAGTAGCTCAGTAGTAAAATATATGTTTAGCATGTGCCAAGGCCCTGGGTTCAAGCCCCAGTATTAATAATATTAGTAATAATAATAATCACCTTCTGGTCTAAAGAGCATCAAATAGTTCTGATATTCAACTTACTTTTTAAACAAAGAATTCTACTTGTGCAATAAACATAACTGAGAAAATTCAATCCTTGAAGCAATTCTACAAAATTCATTTTTAAATGCTTAGCTGCTCTAATTTCTTATCTACATCCCCTATGAGCCCACTTCTACTCATCTAAACACACTGAGATACTGAGATACATTTTGTATAAACCCAATAGCTGCCATAGTTGTAGATCCTTCATCACTCCAGGTATTATCCTCTATCCACTCAACTCCAAATAAAAAAGGTTCAACATGTTCTTCACAGCTCTAAGATCTCTGCTAATCTCTATGAGTCATCTCTCCTGCTTTTTACTTATCCCATCAGAACAGTTTTAAAAGATGCATCCTTAGACCAATTTATATCATATGCAAAAATAAAATGTTCCCATTAGCTGAACACAATATTTATCACCTTCCTCCTTAAGCTTGCTACCTTTTTAACCTTTCTTATATAAGAACTGTAGAATTCTAATCAGAATATAAATTATTCTCACTGTGATCTGCTTGTTGTCACTATTTACTTACTTACATAATCTCTACTACTTTCCCCTACCAACTAAAGAGGATCTCTAATCTTAATTTCTCTTCTACATTTACTCTTTTTATTTCCTTTTTCAGGTCCTTTGTCAGTACTTCAAGCGTGTAAAAATATTAAAGCCTGGAAGTATAAATCCTGAAATTTTGTATCACATTAGCAACTTGTCAATTCTCTTTCCACAGAAAACCAAGTTCGTCTACTTATTTAAAATATCACTGATTATTTCCTTCAGGAAACCTTTCCTTAAAAAATTTACTTGTCATTCATTACAATTCACCAATTCTTTTTTAACTTAAGAGATGCAGCAAAACAAAAAGCAATGAAATATAAAATATCTACATGAGTTTATACAGAATGTGAAGAAACCCTTATAATGCTAAATTCAGATTGAACATGAAATTCTTCCTAATCAATACAATAAATTCCCAAATAGTAGAATTGTAATATAGACTTACTACAGCTAATTTAGTTAGCTGGACTATAATTAATTATACAAATTTGCTAAACTTTTTAGATTCTCAAAAATAGCTGGATTAATCAATTTCAAACACTCCTGAACAATGAAATAAACACAAAAATGTATACATTTTTTTTAAATCTTTTTTTTCAAAAAGTTCTAATTAAGTCTAAAAATAAAGTTGACAGTCCTGTACCAAGTTGCTCAAAATGACAAAATGCTAGAAGTGAAAACTTTAAAGGTCTTTTTGTAAAAAGGCAGGCAGATCAAAACATTCATAATTTTGATGTTTTAAAGCTTCATTTTGCAATTTAATTAGTTTTCTATTGAGTCTTCTTTTTTTTTTTTTTTTTTTTTTTGAGATAGGGTCTCACTATTTTGCTTAGATTGGCCTCAAACTCTCCATCCTCCTGCTCAAAATCTGGAGTGCTGGGATTACAGGTGCCAACCGCTATTCCAGTTATAGTATTATTTTAAATGGCCCCTAATACTGAAGTAGTTTGAAAGCAATGACATGTACATGCCAACATACAAAGATCTTAAAAGATCGTGAAAAAATGTGTTTTAATGCTAGAAGAGAAGAACCCCAAATTCTACCTCTATTACAATGCCAGCTATATTTTAAAGTATCACAAGGAAAGAGATAAAAAATTAATAGTGAAAAGCTTGAGTAATGATGAAAAATCTACTTTTCCCTTCTTTCTGTATTTTCATGAGCATGGCTTTTGCAATAGAAAAATTTAACATTTTTAAGTTCTATATAAAGATATTTTATAAGGTTTTATAAGTCTCTTTACCTTTCCATATTACAAGTATGACTGGTACCATCCCAAAAGACATAAAAACCTGGGCAAGGGGTACAGTTTAGTGGCAGAGCACTTGCCCACCATGCACAAGGTTCAGAGTTCAGGCCCCAGCATTACCAAAAATTAAAAACATAAAACCTAACCAACACAAGTTTTAAAGGGGGAAGGAGGGGCACCAAGCTTTCAAGTTTAATTTAAAACAATAAAGAAGTATGAAATCTAACAAAAATTGAAATAGGACAAATTTTTAATTCAGGGATGATTATGTTGCTATGATGACCAAGTTTTAATAGACTCTATTAAAATTTACTTTCCTATCAAATCATAGAAAGATAACAAAACCACAAAAAGAATCATAAAACAAATATATTGAATTTGTATTTCCAAGTAATACGAGCATATTAATTCACATAATAAAGTCTGCCAATATGGTACATTGGCTGTTTTTGTTTCTCATAGGCAATAGGAAAATAACATGATCTCACTTGTGAAATATGATTGATTGATGATTCCATTCTTCGTAACTGGGATGCCTGGATATCCAGCATCTGTAGGACATTGTTTGCCAAGGTGTTTATCAGATAGGCAACACTTGCTAAGGACTGGGTAGTGTAGGCTTTGGTTTCTTCTAGGGCTCGCTGCTTATCTGTTGACTAGGGGGAAAAAACAGTGATTATTACCTCAAAGATAACCTATTTCTATCAAACTAACCTACAAAAAACTCACCAAAAGCAGTCTGTTAATGAATCTACATCCACCATTAAAAATGTTCTGAAAACTATCAATAACATGCAAACCAAATACCAACTACCAACTTAAGTTCACTGTTATTTTAATGTTAAACAGTCACATCTTTGCACAAATGCAAATAAAATAGTGAATTTCCTATTTAAAAACTGAGATCCATAAACAAAATGAGTAATAATAGCACACATATAGCTTCCCAAAGTCACTGCTTAGATAGGTAGCATTGAGGCAAGCACAGTGGCTCATGCCTGTAATCCTAACTACTCCAAAGAATCAAGTTTCAAAACCAGCCCGAGCAAAAAGTTCAAGAGATCCCACTTCAACCAATAAAAGGTAGATATGATGGAACTACCATCCCAGCTACCATGTGTAGTATGAGTAGGATGCTCACCATCTAGACCGGCCTGAACATAAATGCAAGACTCCATTCAAAAAAGAACTAAAGCAAAAAGAACTAGGAAGTCTGCAAAAAACTGAAACTAGATCCATGTATATCACCCTATACCAATACTAACTCAAAATGGATCAAGGATCCTAATATCAGACCACAAACTCTAAAGTTGATACAGGAAAGAGTAGGAACTACTCTGGAGTTAGTAGGTATAGGTAAGAACTTTCTCAATGAAACCCCAGCAGCACAGCAACTAAGAGATAGCATAGATAAATGGGACCTCATAAAATTAAAAAGCTTCTGTTCAACAAAAGAAATGGTCTCTAAACTGAAGAGAACACCCACAAAGTGGGAGAAAATATTTGCCAGCTACGCATCAGACAAAGGACTGATAACCAGAATATATAGGGAACTGAAAAAGCTAAATTCTCCCAAAATTAATGAACCAATAAAGAAATGGGCAAGTGAATTAAACAGAACTTTCTCAAAAGAAGAAATTCAAATGGCCAAAAAACACATGAAAAAATACTCACCATCTCTAGCAATAAAGGAAATACAAATTAAAACCACACTAAGATTCCACCTCACCCGTTAAAATAGCCATCATTAGCAACACCACTAACAACAGGTGTTGGCGAGGATGCAGGGGAAAAAGGAACCCTCTTACACTGTTGGTGGGAATGTAAACTAGTACAACCACTCTGGAAAAAAATTTGGAGGCTACTTAAAAAGCAAGACATTGATGTACCATTTGATCCAGCAATACCACTCTTGGGGATATACCCAAAAGACTGACACAGGTGACTCCAGAGGCACCTGCATACCCATGTTTATTGCGGCACTATTCACAATAGCCAAGTTATGGAAACAGCCAAGATGCCCCACCTCTGACGAATGGATTAAGAAAATGTGGTATCTATACACAATGGAATTCTATGCAGCCATGAAGAAGAACGAAATGTTATCATTCGCTGGTAAATGGATGGAATTGGAGAACATCATTCTGAGTGAGGTTAGCCTGGCCCAAAAGACCAAAAATCGTATGTTCTCCCTCATATGTGGACATTAGATCAAGGGCAAATATAATAAGGAGACTGGACTTTGAGCACATGATAAAAGCGAGAGCACACAAGGGAGGGGTAAGGATAGGTAAGACACCTAAAAAATTAGCTAGCATTTGTTGCCCTTAAAAGCAACTGAGACCAATAGGAAAAGGGGACCAGGAACTACAGTAAAGGTTAGATCAAAAAGAATTAACCTAGAAGGTAACTCACACGCACAGGAAATCAATGTGAGTCAACTCCCTGTATAGCTATCCTTATCTCAACCAGCAAAACCCCTTGTTCCTTCCTATTATTGCTTATACTCTCTCTTCAACAAAATTAGAGATAAGGGCAAAATAGTTTCTGCTGGGTATTGAGGAGGGGGAGAGGGAGGGGGCAGAGTGGGTGGTAAGGGAGGGGGTGGGGGCAGGGGGGAGAAATGACCCAAGCCTTGTATGCACATATGAATAATAAAACAAAAAAAAAGGGTCAGGGAACCTATCACGATGAAATCATCATTTTAAAGAGTTGGTCTTTAGGATATGCACACCCGGGATCAGACTGATAGTAAAATAGCTGCTCTAATGAGAACCTTTGGATATTGATTCCCAGGGAAGCAAAGAAAAAAAAACAACAAAAAGGGCTAGGAATGTGGCTCAAGTGGTAGAGTGTAAGGCCCTGAGTTCAAACCCCAGTACTGCCAAAGAAAAAAAATTAAGATCTTTTAACCTACTAATTAACCTATTAATATGATAGTAGAGAAGCTACAATATTCTACTTTACATAAAAGAAACTATGAAAAGCACTACAACAGAGGTTGCTTTTTGGTTCCTAAGCAGTAGTATCTGATAGGTAAACACCTATAATTATATTCTTATTTTTTCCTGTAACTACATTTAATTGTCAAATGTATCACAGTTATGGTTTTTACATTAAAGGCAATATACAAAGGCAATCTTACATTAAAGGCAATACCGACTCTGGAGGCTGAGATTGAGAGGTTTGCAGTTCAAGGCCAGCCCAGGTAGAAAAATTCACAAGACCCCACCTCAATTAGTAGCTGGGCATGGTGGGGTATACCTACCATCCTAATTACAGTGGGAAGTGTAAAATATGAGAATTATGCTCCAGGATGGCCTGGGCAAAGCAAGATACTGCCTCAAAAATAATCAGAGCAATCCTTATCTC